TTTGGCGTAATCGAGGTGACTTTCATCATAAACATTCATTTTGTTGGCTTGTCCCCTAACTGTCTGTCGCGGGTCCAAATCACTTTTTTGCATTTTCTGCGATAACAATGGATCGGAAATAACTTTGATACTTGCTGAAATATTCCGTTGTGCATTCATGCACCTCAGTTCTGTATCGCTCACAGCAATAGTTCGAAGTAAATGCCATAGGTCACGAAACCTTGGCGGCCCTAATTGGTTGGCGCGCACTGTACCTCTTGATGTTGCGATGGGTTGGGCCGAGGACGCATGACTCTCAGTGTCGCGATCAACTGTGGCGAACTGTTGGGTCCGAACTGGTATTCTGCATGGCGAACTCGCCGTATTCAGTAGTAGATTGTCCAGTTTGCAAGTGAACGATAGCGAATAAGCAAATAAATGGTAGCCGTCATTATCGTTTGACAATTTATCCCTACAAAACTTTATATTCTGTTAAATTTGTTCAGGGTCAAGCGTTCGGCTACGGGGGGGAATCAGTATGTGCATTGTGCTCTGTGATTGGGCAGCATGCATTTGAATTTCAAATCCACCCACGTCACAGATACAACGGATATGCCATCTTGAGCTATCATGAGCAAACGACTCGAGCGGTCGTACTCAATTGGCGAGAAACGGCAGTTGTTCCAAGGCTTTGATGTGTAATATGTCAGCAGCCGAAAGTTCTGCGCAAATATTGGGATACTGTACCACGTGCCGCATGGATTGAGTTGCAACGTCAGTGAACACAGCTGCTCACAATCAACACAACGCGACAAACCACAATGGATGGACAATGCATAAAGGCCCCGTTATCATTCAAGAACGAAATGCTTGCAATTACGAGATGCTCGCCACGAGGAGCATATCTTGACTTCGTCGCACATTGTCAACGTCATGAAGACCTACGGTACCATACGTAATAGCTGCGCGACAATACCGCGACCAAACGCGTCGGTTACAAGTCCATCCTCAAGCTGTGCCAGGACTTTGCAAGCATCACCTTTTTCTCAGCGTGTCCCATGCCATTTCAAGTTGTTCGCGGAGAATATGGTCCGGATTCGAAATGAATTCTTTGTCGAGTTCTAGGTTAAGTACTCTACCTACGACAGCCGAGACATTTTGAACGTCGACGAAACAGCAGTGTATTACGACATTCTTCGTGAAATAATATGGGCCGAAGTCGGTGGCTCGCCCAACGTCGACAAGAGTTAGAAGAACTCAGATAGACTGACAGCCGTGTTGACTTGTCGTCGGTCAAATGGTTAGACATATCGTCATATTGTTCTTATGCTTGTGTAGGGGAGAAGCTGTCAATACTCTTCATTGTGCATGGCGTGCCGGGTGGATCAATCAACAATGTTGATCAGGCGAACTACCCAGACGACCACTTCTACAATGTTCATGAGTTGGCGTGGATGGATCAACGTGTGCGGAAGAAGTACTTGGAAATGTTACCATCGTAAATCTATGCCTCATCTGTGGTCGTCGCAGACACTCATCACAAAGGCATCCGTTTTTGGTATGGAAAATCAGAGGTTCGAATCCTTTTACTCTAAAATTATAATTTTTTGGGCCTATAACTCAGTTGGTTAGAGTATACGCCTGATAAGTGTAAAGTCAGTAGTTCAAATCTACTTAGGCTATAAAAATAAATAAAGAGGGTAATTTGCTCAATTGGCAGAGTATTTCGTTTAACGTAGCGAACCATTGATCGGTCACTTTGGTGACGAACTTTGACGCTGTATAACTTCATGGAATATTCTCGGTTTGTGCTGATATACATCATCGTGACGGCCAGATCAAGGTCTTTAACGTGATATGCAAATAAATCAGTGTAGACAGTACTACGTACTTGAGGGAATATTTGAATTCGTGACAAAAAGCAAAGCGAACCAATGATCGTCCACTTTTTAACTTGGTTATTGTATTCCAAAATTGGTGATTTTGAATCGGCACCTTCATCAGAACTATCAAATATTAGAAAATTATGAATTGTGAGAGGTAATACTTTTGTGAGTAGTGGTTGAGGAAATTCCAGAAACACGGGAGGAGGCACCAATGAGACAAGGCGTTTCATGGTGCCACCAGGTTTCGTGAAATTTATTCCTCATTTTTGATTTTGCCACCACCTTGACAAGTGTTCGCCTTAAACTCTCCGAAAGGAGGGGGGCAGTC